GGTAATTACATGCAACATAAGTATGCATTAAGTCATGATTATATACCATACTATATTCTAAACTTTATTTCCTCCGTTACCTAACATTGAATCCATTAATAATTACATGCAACACAACCCAACATCAACCTTTCACATACCTTGCAAAAAAATATTTACACCAATCGCAAGGAAAACGTTAAAACTCTTAATCTCCCAACAAATTGCTATATAATAACACACAAACCCCTACCAATTTTCTCCAACCAAAACCCCACCTCCAATCAAAAAATGGCAAACTTCCAATATTCCTACGCCACAGTCTCGTTCCTCCTCCTAGCCTCTTCAGTTTTGGCTCGGCTATTTATGTTATCTTTATTGATAACTAATATTAGATATTTTTCATTTATAGAAGAACTACTAATAGAAGGAACAACACAATGTTTATTCTTTTATTTTGTTAAGCACGACAACTTCAACTATGTATGTTATTTATTGTATGTCCTTGGGTAGACAACAGTTTACCATGTACTATTCTATTTTGCAATTTTTATTATTCTTATGCATGATATACGCAGTGCAATGTCAGTGAAAGCCTTGCTTACGTTCAAAACAATTTGATGGAAATTGGTACTTTTTTGTTGTCTCCTTCTAAACATGAATAATGCTAACTAAATTATTAATTTTTCGGTACTCATGATCAAAACATTTTCCAAGAATAAATATACATAATGCTTATATATCTTAGGATAAAAATAATGTGTAGAAACACTTAAATGGTAGAACCATGTAATGTACTAGTGATACTCAATAGGAAATTTATATATTCATGTTCCAAAAAGTTAAATGATACATTTTACATTCTCTATTAAAAAAACGTCCTCAGATTTATATGAGAACATTACTACTCATATTTAACTTTCAACTGAGTATTGTTTTTGCTAAGTAGTTAGCATACAATTGGCATGAGTTTAGCTTAAGCACAAATGTCCTCTGCATTTCATATTGATCCATTTCACAATAACTTTATTTTACATGCAAAGAAAATTTCTCAACTTGTAGAGACTATATGCCGTCTTTTATAGTTATGCATCGGTTTGATTTCACGATGACTTTTCTTATGATCTAGCCAATAGTTTATATCTAACATGATCGGATAATTGGAGCTATCTTGTGGCTATTACAGGCCATACTTTTAGGTTTGGATTGCAACCATCGGTCACTAACAAAGCATATACCGAACCTGGCATCCTCAAGAAATGTCCCCATAATCTCCATCAAAGATAACAAAAGAGGGTCCATAAGGTTAGGTGAATTGGTGAACCTAAAAACAGCTATGGCTATTGGAGTAAAGGTTAAGTTCCAAACAAAATTAGTAAATTTTCTATTACTCCTTTGGTTCATATTCCTAGTAGAGTTGGTTTAGTAAGTTTACATCTATTCGTTTGTTGTTTTGCAGCTCAGAGGAAGCAATATCAACACAGCAGTAAATGAACATATCTGATACCCTTGTTAGTGTAGAGGGGGAGGTCACCTGTCCACTGCATAACTGGTGTAACTTATCAGAATTTGATTTTTGGATAGGTGAGAGGTATGCAACTTATTAATTTTGGGAAGAAAACATAGTCGCACTAGTTGTTTCTATGTTTACTGGTTACTATAAATATTGAGGGTTGGGTAATGTGATTGTTTTTGCTGTGATATTTTATGACTTTTACAAATTAATCTTCTGGGTTGTTTGGTTGCTTGCAACTTTAATTTTGATGCAACTGCTTCTGCATCAGTTGCAATTTGTAGAAGTTTTGTTTATTTTCAAAATTCAGTAACTTGAAATTGCAATGGGGTGAAATTTTGGCAGATATACCCTGGATGAAATTTCCTTTTAACTATTATATCTTCAGATAGACTCAGTAATTTATCATTCTCTTCTCTTGCTAGAAGTCATCAGATAAGGGCTAGACTTAATGTCCAACATTGCTCATCACATATTAACGCATTCAATTGTAGACATCTAGTGAAACATAAATGAAAACAAAACCTAACCAGATAAAGTCATCAATACAAAATGGTGTTACATTATGAAGTAGAACTAGAGTGAAGTGCTACTAAGGAGGCATAAGCCCCATCCTCGATATTCATCAGAGCCTCATGCTTTCCTTTCTCTACAATCATACCATTCTTAACTACAGCAATAATATCAGCACCTCTGATTGTAGACAGTCGATGAGCGATGACTATTGTGGTTCTATTGACCATAACTCGATCTAGAGCGTCTTGAACTATTCTTTCAGACTCAGCATCCAATGCACTAGTTGCTTCATCAAGGAGCAAGATCTTGGGCTCCTTTATGATGGCACGAGCAATTGCTATATGTTGCTTCTGACCACCCGATAACTGAATCCCTCGTTCTCCAACCATTGTGTCATAGCCCTGTATTTCCAAAAATTAAAATTAATAAAATTGCAAGAACAGATGTTAGATTATATGCCAAGGGGTATATTTTCCATCGAAGTGACAATACCTATCCATCCATTAGTAGCTCAAATAATCCTTGTTAAAGGTTGAGAACTGAGTTGTGCCCTTAAATCATACACTAATATTGAGGGTAAATGATTTTATTTATTTATTTATTCCATTCAGATATTGTTAGGGTTGGAAAGGCCTCTCTTTCCAATGTGGGACAAATTTCACCTCATGCTTTTCTTTTAAAGCAAACTCACATTTAACTGAATGGATACAATACACTACTTTCCCTTAACCTCCTACATGAACAAATTTTTTTGAACTTCTTGTAGCTTATATACTGACTTGTGTTTGACTGGGAAACATCATTTTCTCATGTCTAGAGCTGTTTCGTTAAATCCTTAGTGATGAAGCACGAGAAGTTTAACCCACCATTATTCTTAAAAAAAAGTTTTGATTCAGTTCCAAATTGCTAATAAATACAGATAGAATTTAGACTAGCAATAATATATAGCACCAGCTCATGGATCAGGGACTCAAGACTGACATATGTTAGATCGTAAGCCTATCCTTACAATTGATTGAATTCAACTAACAAAATTATAGACTATATATCTACTTATAAACATCCTATTTATTCTCTATCGTTGAGGAGAGATCTGCCCATTTGGGATATAAATGGACATTAAACAGAGATTGAGACCAAATTAACCCCAAATTTTAAGTTATAAGTATTGACTCCGACATAGGACTACAAACCAGAAGACTTATGGAATTTAGACTAGCATTAATTTTAGCTATAATTGATGAATCAAGAACCAAACCTGCTGCAAACTGATGAATCAAGAACCAAACCTGCTGCAAACTGCATATGAACTTGTCCGCATTTGCTAACTCAGCACCAGCAACAATCTCAGCCTCGGTAGTCTCTCCTACCTTTCCATAGGCAATGTTGGCTCGAATAGTGTCATTGAACAATGTTGGTTCTTGGCTGACAAGGCCCATTTGCTGCCTCAACCACTTCACCTGGAACTTTGATATCTCAATCCCATCTATCGATATATTACCTGAATTGGGGTCATAAAATCTCTGTAGCAATTGTATTGCAGTTGATTTCCCACTTCCGCTCTCTCCCACCAATGCAACAGTCTGATATAGTATTGAGACAAGGATTTAGGGAGGCTATGTGTAATTTGGATTAGCAGATTCAGAATGATAAAGTTCAATCAAGCACTTTCTCTCATACTAATCACTAAAAGTCTATAACGAGTCTTATTCTAGGAACAATCAGGAAATTTAAAATTCACATACAGTATCTGACCTTTCCAGATTGAATTGACAAGCAAAAATCTTGGAAGATTTGAATATCTGGCCTTGTGGGATAACTTGAAACTGATGTGCCGAAACTCAATGTTTCCATCCAAAGTTTCTAATTTCATTCCAGAATCGTCACTAGAATCTATGGTAGACTTTAGGTCAAGAACTGCAAATATAGATGCTGTGGCAGATTTTGCTTTGCTAGAATCTGGTGCTAGCCCGCTTGAGTGAGAAATTGCCATGGCTGCCAGAGAAAGAGCAAAGAAAACCTGCAATAGTGATTGAGACAGGATTTCATTTTGTACGTAGAAATGTCCAGATAGTTTCAGTACAAAACTTAGAGCTTTCATCTAGTAGTAGAACATGTATGGCAGTAGCCAGTGTTTGTTTGTTGTCTAATATCCAGTTGACCTTTGGTTTATTTTAACTGACTGTGAATTATGCTCTTATACTGTGTTCAGTGCTGATAATTATCACATAGTAATCACATTGTCGAATATCCAATCCAAAGGTTGATGAAGTATTGATAGTGTTTAAAAAACTCGTAATGACTACTGTTACTAGATAATCCAGTATATTGTTTAACCTAAGGCACCTACAACAAGTTTCAAAGTAATGCATTATGATTGTAAATATCTAAAAGCATAATTATAAAATGATACATACTCTAAAAAATTCTCCAAATGTAGTCTTTCCATCCTCTACAAGGTGAACTCCAGCATAAAAACAGGCTGCATAAACACAAAAGAGCACAAAGAAGGATGCTCCATAACCAGTACCGCTAATAAACCCTTGCTTAATTCCTGTCCTCATAGGTCCTTCACATTTCGTCCGATACAATTCCATCACCTTATCTTCAGCCGAGAATGAAGCAACTGTTCTCATGCTTCCTATAGCATCATTTGCAACTTGACTTGCTTCCTCATACATCATCTGCATCCATTTTGAAAAATGTCCATATTTTTATCATAGTTTTATCATCTAATTTAAAAAAAATGGTATAATCATGAAGATGGTGCAAGTTTTTGTAGTCAGGTTGATATTCATTTGTGGACGCTTCTTTTGTTAAATAACGGAAGGTAGCTACCTTATTTTGATAGAAAACGGTTGAGTTGACATGTACTTTTAGCCCATATCACGGATTCTCTTTAGGATGATTAAAGAAACATCAGATTATATGCACAACCAGGAAAAAGTAGGGTAAATTTCACAAAACCCCTCTCACATTTGGGCATTTCTCATATAAACCCCGTTAACTTTCAAAATGTCACAAAAACCCCCAATTTGATGGTATTACTTATTACTCTTGATCTAACTTAAGGGGAATTTTTGGAACCCGTAAGAAATATGTTCTAGCTGGAAACCCAATGAACGAAACGAAACCAAGTACCAAAAACAGTTTCGACCAA